TGAACTCTGGGCCTGGGCGCTGTCCCTCAGCTCTTCAGCTCAAGGCTAGTGCTCTACCACTTGAGCCACAGCGCCACTTCCGGCTTTTTTCTTTTTGTTTATGTGGTGCTGAGGAATCGAACCCAGGGCCTCATGCATGCAAGGCAAGCGCTCTACCACTGGGCCACCTTCCCAGCCCCTACTTTATCTTTTTAACAAGAAAAAAATCAGGATTTCAGCTCACTGATAGTAACCATTGTTCATTAAAATAGTCCTTCGTTATTTTATTCATAACACCAATTATTTCCATGATTGCGTTATCCTTTTTCTTAGATTTCAAGGGATAATTTGACTCCTAGCAAACCTCAATCTTTGTCAGTAAGGATTTTTTCTTATCTAGCTATGTTCTTGGTAGAATTGGTCAATAATTTTCCTTTTTTTTTTGCCGGTCATGGGGCTTGAACTCTGGGCCTGGGCACTGTCCCTCAGCTCTTCAGCTCAAGGTTAGCACTCTACCACTTGAATCACAGCACCACTTCTGGCTTTTTTTTTTTTCTACTTATGTGGTGCTGAGGAATCGAACCCAGGGCCTCATGCATGCAAGGCAAGCGCTCTACCACTGAGCCACCTTCCCAGCCCCTGGTCAATAATTTTCTTGTTCCTTCCACCCCCACCACTGAGCCAAACCCCCAGCTCATGAATATCTTACCATAAGGTGATTTTAGCTGCTTAACCTTCAGTTTCACCCCCACCAGGGAAGATGATGGCAATTTCTTGCACAGTGTGACAATCAAAGTGCCAGTCATTGAGGACAGAGAAGTGAGTTGGAAGGCTGAAATTGTGGTAGGACCACAGGCACTCCTGGCCATTGTGGGTGAATATAGGTGCAGTCTTCCAGGAGGGCTTTCTGGCTTATCTTTTAATCACTTGTACTGCTGAGCTCTTCTGTTGTTTTCAGGAAACCATGGCCCAGTGGAGGCCATGTAGGAGCCTTGGCCCTCTCATTTTAATTTAGTTTCCAGGGTAGACATTCTGCTCCCCATCCCCTTTCCTCCTGCAGCCTCCCAAATATACTGAAAGGTCAGGATAAAAAGAAGATGCAAATAGGTAGAAAAGACCAGAATGGAGAGGATGTCGCCAAATGCTCATTTATTACCTTAATTTTCTGATCTTTTGTTGTTGTTGTTGTTGTCGGTTGTGGGGCTTGAACTCAAGGCCTGGGCGCTGTCCCTGGGCTGGGCCTCTCTGTGCTCAGGACTAGCACTCTACTACTTGAGCCATAGCACCACTCCCAAATTTTTGAGTGATTAACTGGAGATCAGAGTTTCATGGGGACTTTTCTGTCCAGACTGGCTTTGAACAGTGATCCTCAGACCTCAGCCTCCTGAGTGGTGAAGATTACACGTGTGAGCGACCAACGCCTGGCTCCGGATCAAATTTGACCCTTGGGTGGAGGTAGCTCCCCTTCCACCTCCACTCATACTTAAGCTTCCTAGAAAGTAAACAGGAAAGCCTCTCTGTCCCTGGACCTGAAGGGTGTTTTTCTTTTTGTGTGTACTGGTCCTGGGATTTGAATTCAGGGCCTGGGTGCTGTCCCCATGAACCTCAGATCTCAGCCTTCTGAGTAGCTAGGATTACAGCCAGAAGGGTGTCTTTTTGTGTTATAGTCTGAGTGTTCAGACCTATCACCTCTGCTGCATGTACCAGCTTGTTTAGAAAAATGGAACAGTCTCTGGCTGTCAGGGTTTTTTGTTGTTGTTGTTGTTTTTAAATTTTTGTCTGTCATGGGTCTTGAACTCAGGGCCTAGGTGCTGCCCCTGAGCTCTTCAGCTCAAGGCTAGAGTACTACCACTTGAGCCACAAGGCCACTTCTGATTTTCTGGTGGTTTATTGGAGATAAGAATCATCTGGGCTTTCCTGCTCAGGCTGGCTTTGAACAACGATCCTCAGATCTCAGCCTCCTGAGTAGTCATTGGCGCCCAATCTGGCTGTCAGTTTCTCAGTGAGATGTGATAGGAGTTCAATGGGTAGAAGTGGGTAGAAGTGACAGAAAGAGAGACAGGAGTGTTCCTCTGTCTCCCCTGTCACAAAGTTACATGGTGATATGGGTAAAACCCAGGGAACAGCACTCTCCTCTTCCTTAGTGTTCTTCATAGGCTTCTCCTTATGTACTACTTTTATTTTTTCACAAGTTCAACTCCAGCCAGGTGCTGGTGGTTCACACCTGTAATCCTAGCCATTCAGGAAACTGAGATCTGAAAATTGTGGTTCACAGCCAGTCTGGGCAGGAAAGTCCAGGAGATTCTTATCTCCTATTAAACCAGTAAAAAGCTGGAAGTAGAAGTATGGCTGAAGTGATAGAGCGGCAGCAGCCTTGAGCAAATCAAGGCAAGTGAGAGTTCAAGCCCTAGCATGGACACACACACACACACACACACACACACACACACACACAGTTCAAATCTGAACAAAAGAAAATGTGTACATGGCAATAAGTACATGATGACACTGTCTACTTCATCAATAACCATAGAGGTAATTAGAAGACAATAGATACTGAGAAGTTTGCCAGTTAAAATATGCATGAGTCAGTAATTCCCATTTTAGGAATGTATCCTAAGATAATAATGGAAGAAATTTGCCAAGGTAAATGTGTGAGAATACTTTCATAACACTGATGAAAGCAGAAATCCCTCAACATTGTACTGGTTGATAAATTATGGTGCTTATTATGTAGGCAGAAATATATGTAGATTAAAGGGCCAGTAACATTATAGTTTCCTTGATCTTTCATCCTCGATAGTTGTGATTGCCTTGGCTGTATCTCAGTCTGTGGCATCCTCTACAGTAGGGATTTCAAAATGATCCAGAGGGGCAGACCAAATGTGAGAGAGAGTGGGCAGATCAGTGAACCAACAGCCCCTGTTCCCCCCCCCCAACCAGCCATGTGATTCCTATGCATTGTTCAGAGAAGACTACTCCTGAAGCTAGAAGACTACTCCTTACTAGGCTGGATGACCAAAGACAGTGTGGTGCTCAACTTCTCTGAGTCTCTCTCAATTCCTGAGCTCTGATTTTGGTGGTAAGACAAAACGTTTCTGTCCAGCAGTTCACATGGTCAGGAAATCCCAGCATCTGAGTCTGGTGTGGATGCTGTTGTTTGTGGAACCCAGCATCCATTCTTCATTTCTCTAACAATAATGCCAGTTTTCAGGTGGCCTCCAGCACTTGGAGAGGCTGGCCATACTCCCTGGAGCTAGTAGGGTAGCTACTTTGGAGACAGTATTCCTCAGGACCTCTGCTAGCATTGCCAGAAAGTCCTCTTCACAAGGGACATGCAAAACTAGTGCCACCATCAAGGTATGGCAGCCTGCATGCTGCCACCAGGGAAAGTACTAGACGTAGCAGAGGAACTCTGGCCAGGTCAGACAAGGAGAAAGAGGGGATTCCAGACTCTGGAAAGGATTATACTAAGGAGGCTGCTCGATACATAGACAAAGTGTCTATTCCCCAGGCTTGCTGAAGTGAGAAGATCAAAATTAGGCCAAGGAGAGCTGGGTATTGGTGGCTCACATCTGTAATCCTAGCTACTCAAGAGGCTGAGATTGAGAATTGCAATCCAAAGCTAGACAGGGCAGGAAAGTGTAAGAGATTCTGATTTCTAATTAAAAAGCCACAAGTGGAAAGAAATGTGGCTCAAGTAGTAGAGTGCCAGATTTACGTGAAAAAGCCAAGCAATAATTCAGATCCTAGTACTAGGACACACACACACACACACACACACAGACACACACACACACACACACACACACACACACAGACTAAGTGTGGTTGGAGCCAGGTGGTAAAGGGACAGTGGGAAGAAAGACAAGAGATGGTCACGATGGATTTTATTAGAGAGAACTTTTGAATAAATGCCACCACCAAAGAGTTTTTCTCAGAAGCCAATGGTCCAATTAACTTTTTCAGATCTATGTGGATCCAGAATGGAGAAATAGACTATGTACAAATACAAGAGTGGAAGCACAGAAAGTCTCAGAAAACTGTTGCATAAAGGGTGGGTGGGTGGGGGGTCTAGATGAGTGCACAGATTAGTAGGCCAAGGGATGAAAGGATCATACAAGTCCCATAACTGGCTACTACAGTTCTGAGTCTCTCAGTCTCCTCTTCCTGAAATAATACTTCATCGGGTAAGTTTGGCAAGTGTAGTGGTTGAGAAGAGTTTTCAGGCAGATCTGGATTTGAATCTGGGTCTGGCTAAGTGCCAGCAGTGTGGCTTTGTGCCTGTAAGTTAGTTAATATATTTATTGAGCACTTGTTGCGTGTTAACTAACAATCTTTATTCTAGGTTGGGGGGGGACAGCACTGTCTGGAGGTTCATCATTTGTCCTAGACCCAGCAGCAAATGTAGATCACAGGATTTCTGTAATGGCCTGGTTATGCGGGTAACAGCAACACTGACACTTTCCAGTATGAATGAGAGGACACAAGAAGAGACCTGGCATATAGCAGGTGCTTATTAAATTATTACCAAAATTACTATTATTACATCCTTTGTGTTTTTACAAGTTTTTGCACGAAACAGGCATCATTTGGACAAATCCTTCCGATTGAAAAAAAAAAAATCCCGAAGCGGGGGGGGGGGGGGGGACCCGGGACGCCCGCAGTGGCCAGAGCCTCCGCAGGGGCGTGGGCGTGGCTAAGGGCTGGGCCACAGCTCCAAAAAGTTGACGGGGGAGGAGTGAGTGGGCGTGGCCACGGCAGGCGGCGCATGCTCAGTGAAGCCCGCTCCACCGGGACCGCTACCACCGCCCACTCCGGGCTGGCCAGCTGCAGGCGGCCGAGACGCAGACGAGGGCCGGGCCGGGCCGGGCTGTGCGAGTACACGGCCATGGCCCCGTGGCTGCAGCTGTGCTCCGTCTTCTTCACTGTCAACGCGTGCCTCAACGGCTCGCAGCTGGCCGTGGCGGCGGGCGGCTCGGGTCGCGCGAGGGGCGCCGACACCTGCGGCTGGAGGGTAAGGTGGCGGAACGGCGGGTGTCCACACCGGCCCGGGACGCGGGCT